TATTCTTGCAAATGCCTCCTTATTTTAACATTAACCATTTATTTTTAATATACAATAAATACATTGCAGATGCACGCAGAATGCAAGTAGGATTTTGGGCTTTTGTATATTAAAAATTTTTCACCGCAACAATAATCCATATGAGCACCTTTGTACCTTTTGAATTCATTCAATGTTATCTCCTTCAGTCAAGTATTTAACTAGGCCTCGTGCAATGGTAAGGTGCACTACAAAAATTACTTTTTGCAAACATACTGGTATGGGATCTAAAGTAATTGAAGTCTCGCACGCACTTTCTTGTTTAATAAATATTAAATTTTATAATATTTTTATTAAACTAAATTTTCCAACAACTATTTTGTTCATCTTTCTTTTAAATGGCGTCGGCTTTATGATTACCTTTCAGATAAATACTTACGTTTGGCAGTGGCGTCACGCTGAGGCGCTGAAGGGGTGCGAAGCGCCAGTGCCCCCAGGTACGAGGAGCCCATATATTGAAGTTAAAAATAATTGACATCATGGATCTTTAACAAGGAAATAAAATATATTGTTTCCCTTACTAGATTTTTGATCAGATCATCAGATCAAACTAGCTGCATCAATATCATCAAGAACAAACTGCCAGCCGTGCGCGTGGCAGCTCAGCTGCCACGCGCACGGCTCATGTCAGAGGGATACGTTCGATCGTGGACGGCAGAAATATGCATTCTCATGAAAAAAATCGGGGATGCCCCAGACACTCCCCCACCCCAGGGGAGAGGTTTTTGAACAAAAGTCTTCGCCTGCAAATTTTTGACAAGTATGAGGGCCCCCACAGTCAGCGCCAGGGTCCCAAAAACTCCGTGACGCCACTGACCTTTGGCTCTGACATTTTGATCTTTCGAAAGATTTTTTTTCTAAAAGTATATACTATATATATATATAATATATATATATATATATATATATATATATATGCATGCATATATATATATATATATATATGCATATATATATATATATATATACATGCATATATGTATGTCACTCTTAACTATATTCCTTTCTTTTCTCCAAACCAAAGAGTGCTACAAAGTCAATTTGTTTAACTGGTGCTGAAATTGCAGAAGCTGATGTTGATAAGAAATTGTATGCATTCCGAGTTACTCCAAAAGGAAGAAAAAGGACTTTTTTTATCCACGCTGAAAATGAAAGTGACCAACAGGAATGGATGCAAGCCATATGTTTTGCAAAAGCAGCCAGTCACCATGGTGATTCATCACAAGCCTGTGTTGTGCAATGAGAAGTGGATTGTAGTCACAAGTTGAAATGAAACAAGAGGAAACTGGAACATAATGAAGAATAAGGTTATGATAGTGAAATTGTACAGAGTGATACTAGATACATAGTGAAATGAATGTAGAAATCGTGGTTTGCATTCAGATTTTTTTTATACTGTACGTACTTGGTGGAATGTCAATAGCGTAATTACTGTACGATAACACTTTTACATGTTTTAAAACACCTTTTAGAACAAGTTTGTAAATGATGGGAAGTACCTGGTTTTTTTGATACTCATTGGTTTACTAATTTTTATTGATATGATGATAAAAATGTTATTGAACTTGTAACTAAAAATTATTCACAAAATATCCTTTTAGGTATCAAAATTAATTAAACAACAAATACATTAACATTATCTTTGAATATTACAGTAACAGTTGTTTCTGCTACTACAGTACTTTACTTCATCTATCTACTTTGTACTTCTAAATTTTATTTGTAAACTTTTGCAGCTATGTTTATGCAAGTCCTGTAGTACAATAGAGATCATATTTAATTTACTCAGTTTAGTTAGGGGATAAGGGTTGTTCATATAATACTGTAATTCCTGTTCTCATACCCCAAGTTATGCTGGGCTAAAATATTTTAAAAGATTCGAAAAAGTGATCAAATTTTGTAAAAAGAAAATATAGGAATAAGCCAGTCAAAAAACTATCAGTTTTTCCCCAGTTTTAAAGGTATAAGTAAGCCAAATATTTGCCAGGTATAGGCCAAATCTTTATCAGCTTTTTCCAGTGAACAATTCCAAATCTTTGTCAACGTATCCCTGATCAAATTTTGTATTCTACTTTAAGTCAACTGCTGTACAGTAATTGATCAGAAACCAAGCATTCCATTTGGAAAATATGCCAGTGAGAGATCAACAATTGAATGAACAGCAAATTGAGATACATTCAAACTCATATTCATTTTTTAGAAAAATTTTGAAGTAAAATTGAGCAGGTTAGTATGCTCTTTTAGCTCCGGATGTCCAGTGGTTTTTGAGAGCATCAGTGGCATATCTACAGGGTTGGGGACCCCTCCCCCCATAAAAATTTGCTAGCCAAAAATATTCCAGTCGAGTAATAGCCCTTCATTTCACCAATTTATGATAGAACCCTTACTTAGTTTTTGTACCCCCACCCCATGTCCTAGATATGCCACTGAATAGATGATGAAAATATTAAATATATTTTTACTTTCAAGTAGTGTAGATTTCAGTTGCATCGTTTCTGGTGCTACCACAACATTTATATTAAAACCTATTATTTACAGGTAAATTGTAAAATTGCCAATATTACATTATATATAATATTCCATGTGTTATCTATAACCCAAGAAATTATTTGGGAAGATTTTTAAGTTATATTTTAAGCTTTTTTATAATTAGTACCTTCATTGTTGTGCAATATGTAGGTTTATTTTCTATCTTTAAAATTGTATTAAATATTTGTATATACATATTACATAAATCCTGCTCAATATATTATAGTACATTTGAACTTTGAACTGTGACATGTAAAAATGATAATAAAGTGACCTTTTATCTGGTGACCTGGTGATAATCGATGGTCTTATGAGTCGGTGATTATGTGTTCCTTGTATAATGCTTATATTGCGAGTTGTAATAGTACAGTAATACAAGGCTTACAAGAGAAGAATTAAAGCATGCAAAATATAAACAGTGAAGAAATATGATAAACGAATTGCATCTAGAATACCATAATACTGTAGTAGTCTACTTTAATATATAAATACAACATGTTTTGAGGTGAAATACGAAGTGGAATTGACCAATGACATGTCCAATATTTATGAGGTATAGTAAAAGAAACTACAATATGAATACAGTATGATTATTAGAACGCTGTATAAAATTGTGACAATTCTAGAATAAATGACAAGTGTTGAAATTAGGAATGACACAAAGAATGATACTGTATTGCAATGCACATTGTAGACATTGCAGCATGGATTACCTGTATATAGCGATGTACATGTGATATGCCCATATTTGGGTGAAATATGACATCATGCCCATATATGGGCTCATAACACAAACTTGTCACAGAAAATTTGATAGTGTGGACAAAGCTTTAAGCTCAGTCCACACTATCAAATTTTGTTTAAAAAAAAGACTGTTGTATGCCCATATATAGTCATGATGTGCCGATGATGTGATGTCATGTCACATGTTTTTGTCAAATCAAATTTGGTGGTCTGGACAGGGCTTTACGTAAAGCAGTGTTACGAGCAGATTGTTCAAATACAGTAGAAAGCAAATTACATTAAACAATAATTGTAATAGTGTGTTTGTATGAGGTTGGTTATACAGTATAGTAAAGGAGTGCAATGGCTGTAAAAGACAGTCTTTAGGTCTAGCAAGCATTGTTAAGTGTAGGCAGTACAGGAAACCTTACTGAATCCAATATGAATATGCATGAATTATGTACTGTATGAGTATATATGAATATGTATAAGTTGGTATGAATATGTGAATAGTAGTATTTGAATTGTAACTCTTGGTAAAGTGATGGCATTTTAAATAACCATCATATTAGTATTTTATTTACTAAAATATGTGTCAAAAATATAGATATTATTTCCATCTATTATTTATTAATTACGAAAACAAATTTGGATGTTTAAATAATTTTGCTCTTGGTTAATGGACTATTTTTTATTGTGGTTGCATGATGGCAAATAAAGTATTTAGTGCAGTTTTGTGGTAAACAGTGATATGTAAGGCAATGTTATTGTAATGTTGGTATGTATTTATATATATTTAAAAACAACAGGTACCATTGAATGTACAATTTTAGTGTTGATCTCAATAAATAGATGGTGGACCTTCTCCAGGGTGTGTTAAGTAAACACAACAATCATGAGGAATCCACAAGAAAATGTTTATGCTGCTGGTTTATGGGACTTGAAACACTTAGTGGAATGGTGCATTGTTTACTGTCCACCATTATCTAATTTGGAATTAAATTTGTTAAATTTGATTCTAGAAAAAAAAAATCAGTGGACTCGCAAAATCAAAAGTACCGACACCAACTCAAACAGGGGTCCTAAGTTAGGAAAGCCCACTTCCATGAGGTCTGTTTGAATGAGCTCTTTAACATTTATATAATTATATTTTCCTGCACATAATGCAGTACAAAAAAACATTCAAACATCATCATGGAGGTTATTGCTTGCTCACGAAAGGCTTATGAACTGCATAAGATTTGGGGCCCCTGCTTTAAATGTGTATAGTATAATTTTTTTACATTTTTCAAAGAACTTCAATTACTCACAAGCTGCACATTTAATTACTTTCATTGTGTGAAAATGTATTTGAGTTTATTAATCAATAAAGTTTGACCAAACAATATGTTTTTGCGTAAAATTATGATTTTTATTTTTTTTTCGATTCCAACCACAAGTACTGTACATTGACCACTAACAGGGTGAAACAGTGAGGTGGTCTATAAGCATAGCACGACAGTGGCAGACAACAGTGTATAACAGTGGCATGTGTCAGACACTTTACTTATTACTGTCATTATGTTGGAAAGAAAGCTTAATTTTTAGGTTGATGTTGCTGGACCATTCTGCAAAACCACCTTACAATTTGCAGTACGTTAGAAAGTTTGTATAAATCCTACTGGAATATGCTGCTAAACCATCTTACAATTGTCAGTGCGTGGGACAGTTTGGATCAATTCTTTTGGACCACGCCGCTAAATCTCCTTACAATTGTCAGTACGTTGGAAAGTTTGGATCAATTCTATTGGACCATGCTGCTAAACCACCTTGGATGTTTTTGATTTTCACAATTGTAGAATCTAGCTTTTCTTTTAACTTTAAAACAGCTTTCTGTGAATCATTTCCTTGCTTGCACAAAATATATACTACGGAAAAAAAAATATACAATACATGTTGCCTTATTATGCATATTTTGAATGTTATTTAAGTAAAATATTTACATATTCATATACTGCAGTATTATTATGTATATTATCCATATCAACAATTTATATAAATTATTATTCCAAATACATATACTGTACGTATTGTTCCTCGAATCAGAATTTTTTGCTAAAATTACAGTTTTCTAGCATGTTTTACAAGTTTCTTAACTACTATATGTCGGATTAGCCTGGTTGAAGCAGTAAATTATGAATGGTACAACAGAGGCACCAGTACATTGAAGCACGTAATGCGATCGGTGAAGCACGTAATGCGATCGGTGAAGCATGAACTGCTGCTAGAACCCTATAAAATTGCACTAAACATATTAAAATTTATATGCCTACATTCTGTCACTAGATTTTAAACTCTGAATCAAATAAAATAAAATTTAAAAAAATAAATAAATGTGTACCTGTTAATTGGCCTTTCTCTTCATTTGCACATAGAGAAGTAATTTGTTGGTTTAGTAGTGCTATATGCTCTTCACTTGCAATTTTATTAAGTGGAATATCTGAAATATTTATAAGGAATAGGGAACTCTCAAGACAATCATTGACACAGTAAAAAATACATCCATTGCATGGCTTAACCAATGCAGGAAAACACAACCATCAAATTCGATCAAATGTGAAACCTAATGCACACTGCATCCGGCATTAGTTGGCGATATGCAATTCTAAAACATTGCAAGAACATGCCATGTGATGGGTCATTTTCAATCCTTTCAGTCTACCACCAGCTGTTAGAGTGCAAAGAAATTTGTTGGCAAAAACAGCATGCTCCAGACATTGTACACACAGCAATGTCTGATGCTATGCTATGGCACATAATGAGGTTAGTAACAAAGGATACTTTGGAAGTTCTTGAGATGACAAATATCAAACTCAACTTGAGGGCGCACGTCTATATAAACACTTGGTGTGTTCGTTGTACTTACAGACAACAGGTGCTCAACTGTCACATGATCTGTTTTATCCAATAGGTTTAATTTTTGACACTGAGGAAGAAAAACAAAATGACTGACATTGATACAGATAGTAGAGGTACTTTGGTTCTTTTAGTAGTTTAGGACCACACTACGTAATATTTTTATTATTTCAATAAATGTCATTATCAATAGCTATTTTTTTTTCCTTAAATTCTATTGAGGACACAATCCTAATAATGTTGTAAAATCTCTCAGAATAAATTAAAACAGCCCCACCAGGTATTTTCCCCAGGACATTAGTGGCCTTCATCTAAACTTATCAGAACCCTTGTCATACATCTTTTTCCCCCTCCCCTAAATGTATATACAGTAATAGAGTTAAGATTAAGGTAAAGGTAGTTGAACCTGTACAGGCATGGGGTGCCCATCCCTCTTTCTTAAGTGTTGGTGGGGAGGGGATCAGATGATGTAATGCTTTGAGGGGATTGCCACTCCCCCTCACATTGAGTCTGCCGGGATATGCCGGTGCCCATTTTACACTCCTAGGAAGAGAGAGGCAAACGCAGATAACGTGTCTTGCCCAGGACCCTGGGATTGGAAGGCAAGCATCTTAACCACCAAACTATTCAACTCCACTCCATCAAAATTGCAATTACATATCAAAACCAACCTTATCTGTTGCACTGGCTCCGCAAAACTGTTCGTAATCAATAAGCTCTGTAACAGATGGATCATCTCCGCAAACTACACAAGATTTCTGTCTGCCTCGGAGACAAATTGTCCTGAATGTTCCATTTAAGCCATCAAACATGAAGAGTTTTTGACTGAATGATGCTGAACAAAATGCTAAGGTTGATAATCTTTTGTAATAATTATGTAATTGACTGTTGAATTAT